GTCTTAAGTGAACGTAAACAGTAGGGAGAACGTGTATCAGTCCATTGCATCCATCGGAGCTGTGCATTCGGTTTTAAAGGGATAGCAGCCTAATTTAGTTGCTATTGTCCGAGTCATTGATGTTAATCAAGCAACAAAAGAAAGACAGAAAATCACGCACTGCTCTTGATTGAAAAACTTTAGTAGTCCTAAAGATTAATCTAAATTTATTTATAGAAATAAATATGTCTGCTTGAAAGAATGAAGAATATGGTAAACAAGTTGCTATAAAGAATGCATAATTAGCCTATATAACTAAACCCATTAGATTTTAGCCGACTAAAACTAAAAACAATTCAGATGACTAAAATATGACTAAAACTAAATGGCATTTTAGTCAAAAGACTATGACTAAAACTAAATCAAAATTTGCTGTCAAAATTAACACTGTATAGATGTGACCCTCCATAAAACGTCTCACATAGATGATGTTATATCAGATGTTCACTGTAAGCAAAGCTCATTAGTGAACACTGCAACCCATCAAACTGAGAACCCTGCTCCTGTGTGTGCGGTTAATCTTCTGATATGACACTGTGTGTGCGTAAAGGCGAAGCCATTGAAACAGCACTTATCGCTGGCTCATCCTGTCTCTGTTAAATGCACAAACAATTCAAACAGCAAAATAAACAAGTGAGCTATCGATTTCCCAGAGTGCAGCGGCTTGCTTATCGGCCGCCCAGCGGTAAGAGCTGACACATTCTTCATAAAAAAAAATTGGATTACAGTTGCCTCTCTCTTGCTCTCTTTCTCACACACACTCAAACGTGCACAAACACACAACTGCAAACTGTCACCGAATATATGATTTCATATGTATTTTTAATATTTCCTTCTTGTTCAGTCCTCTTCCCATTATGCCGAACATTTCAGATTAGAAACATCTAAAGGTTTGCTTTTTCTCTCACTGCGTTCAAGGTGTCGGAATGTTATTCATTGTATGGAAATCTGTTTCTACCTCTAAAAATTTAATTGTGATCATTGTGATATAATGGTAAAAATAAGTCAGAAATTAACATTCCAAGTTTAAAAGCCACAATTGGGGGATTTTATTTTATTTTATTTCATTGCTTTTATTTCATTTCTTTTATTTCATTCCATTGTATTTCATTTTTTATTTTATTTTTGGATATTTGTGCAGTATTCCATATGGGCTCCTATTTTGTTGTAATAATTCACACATGCATTTATAAATAAAATCGACATGTCTTTGAAATTGGTAAAAATATTGCATCATAGAAGGTCTATGATTAATACACAAAGTCATACTGTAAGATTTAAAATTACTATTGGGGGATATGAAGTTGCAGTTATTTTATTTTATTTTACTTTGTTTTATTTTATCATTTTATTTTATTTGCTACAATTTTATTTATTAATTCATTCATTTAATTTAAGTTGGAACTGTGTTTCCATACATATTCACAATATTACGTCGTAACATGTTAAATGGAGCTGAAAGTTGTATGTTTTTATAGGAAGCTGAAAGCAAACTCAAATTAGCCAAAAGATTAAATAAAGAAATTCCAATTCCACTGATATTTGTGGAGTATTCCATATGTCGTCCAATGTAGTTTGTACACATTTTATCTACTGTTGATAAACAAAATAGCATTACAGCTTGCCAGAAAACACTAATCATTTAGCCGGTTAATGAGGTGAGTAGCAAAACTACATTTCCCATCATTCTCTGTGGCAGCACAAGAATGATAAAACAGGTAACACTTTAGAATAGGGGTCCAGAATAATGCATTAGTTAAGCATTAATTAATGGTTAACTTGTTCACAATTAAGCATTAGTTGAGCACAAACACACTAGTAATTAATGATTAACTTACCATTTAGGGAGCTCATTAATTAATGCTTAACTAATGCATTATTCTGGACCCCTATTCTAAAGTGTTACCATAAAACACAAATAAAGCATCAATTACACACCTAATGCACCTTTTTCCTCTTCATTTTGGTGCATTAGCGCTAAAGAGCTTTCTGTCTTTATGGTGAACTGAAAAGGGGAGAAATAAAAATGAAATTACTCAACACATCCATTTTATTTCCAACATAAATGCACATCACATCATAATTACGGCCTCCGAGCTCATAAATAGGATCTTCCCAGGAGGACTAGAAGGCAGCACACACAGATTACGGGCAAAAGAGTGTGCTCGGGTCAATGAAAGAAAAGATCAAAGAGAACCAAGCGAAAATTTGCGGTTGTGTGTGTCTGGGCTTGATGTGCTAATGAGACATTGATCATATGCAGCCGTAACGTCTTTTTTTACCACACGTTGGGCACATTTATTTTCTCTACCCTTCTTTTCTCTCAGCGGTGGAGGATAGAAAGCTGTTCATCGGCATGGTGTCGAAGAAATGCAACGAGAATGACATCCGGGTCATGTTCTCTCCTTTCGGACAGATCGAGGAGTGTCGCATCTTGAGGGGACCAGACGGACTCAGCCGAGGTGAGACACATACTGTATTTTTCTTTTTAAATTTTTAAAGGGAACATGATGAAAAACAGGATATTTCTTGCTCTTTTGAAATAACATTTCAACGCAAATCTGAAACTAACACTGTGAGATAACCAAATGCGAAGCAATGACGCATCACGATGGGTAGCCACGCCCACATTGAAACCTCATTGGTCCAATACAGCTTTCCATGTAGCTAAATAGTAAACAAAACATATGTTCCGATTGGTGGTGATTGTTTTGCGTCACACAGAATTTCACTTTTTATGTGAACGGACTGGACATCACAACTGTGACATCACAACCATAAGCTCATTAACATATGACCGCCCATCAACAACTAAACTAAAATAACGACTTTATTCAACAATTTCTTCTCTTCTGTGTCAGTCGTCGACACGTGTTTACAAGAGTTCCACAACTATTTTAACAAATTCCTTACTACCTTTCTGAGCCTTGAACATGTCAGTTGCGTTGCTGTCTATGGAGGGTCTCGGATTTCATCAAAAATATCTTAATCTGTGTTCCAAAGATGAACAAATGTCTTAAGGGTTTTAGAACGACATGAGGGTGAGTAATTAATGACAGAATTTTCGAGTAACTAATGACAGAATTTTCCTTGAGAACAACAATGTGAACTATCAACACAATCTCATGGCAATTCGTAACTATTGTACGTTTTGGCGAAACGGTGGAATCTCATTTCTCACTATCGCAGTGATGTTTATGTTTAGGGGTGGGGTTATGGGTGATTTTTTTCAAACCGTACATTTCTTTTGTACGTTTCACATCATATGAACTCGTACGAAATCGACAGCTCGTAAAATACGTACATTATTCTGTGAGATCGGGTTGGAACTACAGCAGTTTGACATTTAGCAAATCATATCAGGGCTTATTTAAATATAGATGTCTTAAAGGTGCAGTAGCAAAATCAACCTTTTTAGTTATAAAGAGTGTGGGAAATGCTTATAAAAAAACTATTTATGAGTGTTTTTGGTGCAAGACACTAATTTGGACTTGCAACAAAAGTGTAGAATGCAACTCTTTATATGGAGCACATGTTTGATATATTATTATGCTTGTGTTTTTATACTTCATTAAAGGGATATTTGTTGCAGACATATGCATACATTCTGATCAAACATGGCAGTGAGAGATACTAGTTAGTGGTTTCACCATTCTAGCCATCAAGGTCTGTATTTAGCAAAGTCAGTCTTTCACAGTGTGTTTAAGGATGTTCGATTTCCTCCAGAATTACGGGAATATATGTGGTACATGATAAGTGTTGAAGATTTTCCCATCTTGATGTAACCTGCAGGGAATTACAGCGTACCTCCAACTTCCCACAATGCTCTGCTTTTCGCATACAGCTATCTTTTATCACTCGTTTATCCTCCTCATCCACTCCACTAGTCGTCCCTCCATCCTCCGCTCATTCGCGCTACACCTCCGCAGTCCTTATTTTTCGTCTTTTCCTCCTATTCTCATGAATATTTTAATTCCACAGGAGATTAACTTTATTCCCTGAGCTCATGGTTGGAGATATATTTGAAATGCTTCTATGAGAGAAACTACCACCCCCTCCCATAAAAAAGGATTGGATGAATAAATAGATGAGCAAATGTGTACGTAAAAGAGGTGTATGGTAAACCCATGGACTAGGACTACTTTAAAAGCGCTCTCGTGCTGCTATTAAAGCGTTCTATCAATCATCATTGAACTTCACTATTAATAAAATATAGATCAGGCCACATGCGAGCGCAGTGCCCTGGGAGCTACCCCACTTTCTTCAAAAAACTCATCTTTCGCTCTCTCTTTCCCTCTATATCGCCCTCGTTCATTCTCTTTTTTTAATGACACTGACAGGTAATTGTGTTGTTTTTGCCACAACTACGACATATGTGAGGGAAAATTTACAATCAGACGGTCACTATTGCAAGAAAAACACCTAAGCATTAATTAAAGGGGTCATATGATGCTTTTTTAAAGATCATTATTTTGTGTATTTGGTGTAACAGAATATGTTGACATGCTTTAATGTTCAAAAAACACATTATTTTTCAAATACTGTACATTATTAGCGTCTCCCTGACATGGCTGTTTCAACACTAACTGCGGTTACTGAAACCACGCGTTCTTTCTTTGCGTGAACATTTGGGCGGCGTTATGCAAATCTTCCCAGATAGTGAGGTAGACATGTGGGGGCGTGTTAGAATGAGCCGTTTTAGGGGGGCGTGGCAGAGTCTTAACTTTGATAAAGAATATCTCTTTGGTTTTGAGACTTTAGTCTTTGCAACTTCAGGGATCTTATCTATGCACAATCAGCTTGTAACACTCCAAAGAGAAAGGAAAACTTGAAATCGCATCATATGACCCCTTTAAATCAATGGACATGAAAAAGATGGTATGAGACTAGCAGAGGAAATCCGTTGACTAGGACAATTATGCCGTTTTGCGCTCATTATACCAAAAAGAAATTGACCCCAGAATGCTGCGATTGACCAATCACCATCAAGTATTCCAGAGGGCTGCATAATAAGAATAATTAATCGCTTTCCTTGGAAATTCTTTCATTCGGTCTCCTCGTTAACAGCTTCTTATCTCAACAGATCACAGTTCGTTCGAACCATGAATGAACTCTGCAGTCGCAGGTCAGCAAAAACACGGACTTTGAGAGTTGAAAGAGAAATTTTTTTCCGCATTTCTCCCCCACGAGACGGTTTCTCTAGAGTCTCGCACCCTGCCAGTGCTCACAAATATCACCCTTAGAGTGTCCAAAACTGCTTTAATGATGAGGCTAATTAAACAACTCTAAAAATAAACAGCCTTTCATTCCGCTTTCACTTGTGGTGATGCTCCGGTTCGCCGGGGCCAGATTCGCCCGCTCTGAAGACAGAAAGAAGGTTGTATCAGAGCGATAGTGAATAGAGTGATGCTAATGAGAAGGAGAGAGTAAAGGTATGTCCGCTGGAGCAGGTAGACGGTGCCAGCAGATATACAATATAATTTCTGAATTAAAATAAGTATTGATATTATTTGTTTGGGAGGTGGGAAGAGATGCAACATTTTTTTAGATATGTCTCTTTAAAATATTGAATAATTTGGCCTTTTTATGACAAATCATGGTTACTTCAATTTGTAAAATGTCATGTGGTGCAACTCCCCCAAAACAAAAAAATAATATTTGTTAATTAATAATTCATGATATTTGTAAAATAAGTATTGTTTACCTTAAAAATATATATTTATTTTTATTTTATTTATTATTAATATTATTTTTTTTTTTTTCACAGTGTAGGAAAATTGTGGTTACACCATGTGACACATGACATTTAAAATGTTCAAATGAATCAAGGTGGAAATGTGGTAGTATTTTTCATATATAATTGTGAATGTTGACTGTACTGTATTTTGTGTGCAACTTATGTACTGTGGAGGACGAATAATGATAACGTTTTCCAGAAAGTACTGCTTATTTAGTCAGTTTATGACTTGACAGGTTTATGCGAAAAACTGCATTTCCCATCATTCTCTATGGCAGCATGAGAATGTTGCAGTAGGAAAAGAGAGAAAGTAATATGAAATTGCCCAGCATGTCCATGTTACTCTAGCCAACAACACTTGGACACACATCACATTGTAAATCGAGTTTCCAAATTTAAAAGGAACCATTTACGAAAAGACAGGACGCCAAGTCTTTGTTCTTTCCTCTCCTCCATTCTTTCCCTTCTATCTCAGAGTATTCACATATGTAGACGTGTGAGAAGTAGTTAACCCATTAACTAGACTGTCCATGCATGCGCGCATGTGTGTGTCCTCCATATGTATAAATGTGCTGGACTGCACAGTAGAGTAGAGCTCTTCAAACAGGGCTGCGTTTTCCCCCAGCATGCCTCCATATGGCCTGTTCTTCTGGCTCCCGCTTGCACCGCTTCGGTTCCAAGACTTCTTGTCCCAGATGCCATTGCAAGCTCTCCCGAAACACACACCCCCCTCCAGGGATTGTTCGCCTTGATTACAGTTGTTTAAAAAGAAAGAAATTGGGTGTGTTTTTACATATTTATGAACAGACGGAATATTAATGAAACAGGGTTGGTGGGGATATCAGTAGCACAGATACTTAGGTACAAAGTTAGTATTAAAATAATTTTGAATAAAAATACTTGGCTTTGCAGTTTACATTCAGTCTATGGGATGTGCCACAATTTTGATAATAATAATAAACAATAAGAAGAAGAAAAAAAGGGAAAATCACTCACTGCTCTTGATTTGTTTCTTTGTTTGCTTGAATAATTCCATTAATAATTTGAAGCATTACATTTCATGTTCAAATTTATTTTAAATTGTTTTCATTTAAAAGGATAGTTCACCCCAAAAATGAAAATTAACATTTACACAAACCTGTTGTGTCGTTCAGACTTTCGTTCATCTTCGATACACAAGTTAAGATACCTTTGAATGAAGCCTGAGAGATTTCTGTCCCTCCATTGAAATGCCATTCTATCAAAATTTTCAAGCTTCAATAAGTTAATGAAAACATTGTAACAGAATTTAAGTTTTGGATGAACTAAACATTAAATGTATTTTTAATATTACTGTTTAAGTTTTTAAATAACATATTTTCCGTTATCATGTTATAGTTTTTGTTGTGGTTTCAAAATTTTGAATTGGTATTAACAATTACAGTTTTTGGTATCACAGTAACCCCACATGTATACACAATTTATGTGTGTGTGAGTGTGAGAGATGAAACTAGCCACACACTCTAACTGCATACTGTAGTAGGGCTGTCAAAATGGCTGAAAAACTAAATTCAAATTTTTTACGTAAATATTATCAATATTCAAATTATATTCAAATTTAAAAGGCATAATTTCAGTTATGGGGAGAGAGAAGCTTTTGGCTTCTCTCCTGAGGCCACAAGAGGGCGCATCAAACAAAAATATTATGCATTGGGGAAAACCGCCATAAAGTCTTGAGACATGTTTTTTAAAAGTTGAACTTGCATTAATTTTACATGGCTTTCTAAACATGCGTCTCTCTTGTGCGAGATGCGAGTGCAGCGTTGATAGATGTCCCTCTAGAAAATGCGATAAATATGCATTCTGTGTGAACGGCTTGTTTTCGGTTTTGACGTAAACAACATCTTCCCCGCATTGATTGTTCTATTTTTCTGCAATATTTTGAATGAACAACGCAGCAGCGCCGCATCTAGTGGGTTCAACTGGATAGGTTAACAAAAACATTAAAATGCAATGACACTTACATCGTCGTCGCATTTTGTGCGCCACTGATAAGGCTGCCTGACGCACACCTAAAATTCGAATGCAACGTTTTTGCATTCAGATGTGGACCTTTATTTTAAATTCGATGAATATTCGAAATTCAAATTATTATTTTTTTGACAGCCCTATACTGTAGTTTCCAAGCCATCACACCAAACGAAACTAAAGAACTGATATCCATTGCTGACATTTTGTTGAGTGTGTATTTTGAGATGTTGAATGTTGAATGTTTATCTGAAGCTGAATGTTGAATGTTGGTTGTTCTATTCTAGCAACTGTATAGCACTGTTGTCTGCTGTGTTCTTTGTACGATCTTTGTTTTTTGGCTTTATAACAACCTGTCCAACCCTTTTGTCTTGTTTTGTTTCTCTCTCGTCTCTCCTCCTTCCTCTCCTCTCCTCCCTCCCACGTCCCTCCCCTCCCTCCTGCAGGATGTGCATTTGTCACATTTTCTACCAGGGCTATGGCACAGAATGCAATCAAAGCCATGCATCAGTCTCAAACCATGGAGGTACTGTACCCTTGTCTTCTCTCTCTCTCTCTCTCTCTCTCTCTCTCTCACACTCTTCCTCTCTCTATCTCTGCTCTTTTCCAAAACATAGTGAGCTGCCTACGTAGGCAGCATTTTAAGGGTTTGAAAAGTTATTCCAGAAGATGCTTTCTTTTGGTCGTTCTTCTAACTTTCTTCTGAACAAATTGTAATGTACACTTTGAGAGGAAGATAATTTCATAATGCAGTGTCAAAAAATCCGTCCAAGATAGCATACAATGCAGTAAGAAATGTCTGTTCTAAATATAATGCATCTCATAGCATCAATAAAAGTAGTTATGTCTGATTAAAAGTAACAAATTTAATTTGCGCTTACTTATTGGAGTGTTGTTGTTAGCTTAGCGGCTTTCTTCCAAAATGATGAAAGATATATATGACATTGATACAAAAATATTTTATTCAGTACCGCAAAGTATCTAAAATAAGTAGTTATGTCTAGGGCTGGGTAAAAAATATTGATATCTCGATATTAATCGATTCTCATTTTTACGGAACGATATCGATTCTTAAATCCCAAGAATCGATTATTCTAGCCTGTTTTCAGTTAATGGACGGAACATTGAAGGGCACCTCCCATCCAATATATCGCAATAAGCATTGTGCTTTGGTATTTTTAATATGAAACAAAGTCTCAGATTTCAAATCCTGTCCATTGTATTGCAGTATTTAAACAAATGCCGTTTTGGCACTGTTTAATGTGGAGTGACAGATCGCTGTAGCACGGCGCGCCTCAGTTCAATAAAAGTGGCAGCGTGAGGCGCACGTGAACTGATCATCTCCTCCACATTAATACCAGTTTCAGCACAAAATAAACATGTCTAAACATCCGAAGGTAAGTTAAAAGAAAGAGTACAACTTTACAATCCATATCCTGTCTTATGTAATCGCTCAATCAGTGTTTCTGCCGTGCAAAGATGTCAATAATGGCTTGTAAACAATATGTCATGTAACGTCACATTTACCTCAGAAAAAACATATTCGGTGACCATAAACTCATTATTGATAGAAAAATAAACTGTAGAGAGCGGTATTTTGCTAAATATATGCACCATATAACATATTCATTATAAATTTGACTGTTCTTCAATGTTTCATTTATGTTTGAATAAATCCATCATTTTTTTATGACAGCCACCATTTAAATGTTTATATTTAAAAAAAAAATAATAATAATTAAAGTAGAAATATTATTATGTAATTATAACTTTATTATTTTAAAAACTTCATTAAGTGTAATTTTAGCAGTTGTATAGCTTACAAATCAGTCAATTTTTACCTTCAATATTATAGTAATGTACCAAATGACTCTCATGTATATTTTACTGTATTAGTTTTGGCAAGTACTGTACCTGATATATATCCAAAATAATCTATATTGAATTGAATCGAATTGAATTGGTAATCGAATCGAATCGCAAGCTTCTGAATGAGACTCGAATCGAATCGTGAAATTTGTGTCAAAACCCAGCCCTAGTTATGTCTAATTAAAGTGAACTATTTTACCCAGTTTTTGTGTTTTTTTGTTTTTGTTTTGTTCATTAGTGTTGTGCTGTTAGCTTAGCAACATGCTAATGTTTAACACTATTAAAGTCTACTGTGTTTCGCATCAAATTCCAGTTTGTTAAAACTGAACATATAAATTTGACATGTTAAACAATAAAAAGTTGCTTAGTTTGGAACTGCACTAGTTGCTACACTATTTATAATGGACAATGGACCTTTTTTCCTCGCAAAATTTCACTAATGTGACCACTTCTTGTGAGAGTATTGTTGTTAGCTTAGCGGAATGCTAATGTGTCCACATTCACCGTTTTCTGGATTCTCTGTTTTGTTTCTCTTATTAGAATATGGTTGTTAGCTTAACATGCTAATGTTTATTTCACTTAGGATGCTGCCTAGGCAAGCTTATGAGATTTAAGAACAGAGCCTCTCTTACTCTCTCTATCTTTTTCTCTCTCGTTTCTGTTTGAATTGGCGACCAGTATTACAAACTTGTACAGATTCTAATATTTTCCCTATGAAGTTGAACAAGATGGAACATTTTTTTAAAACAGAATTTTCCCTCAGTCACTAACTTTTCTGCAGAACTTTCAACACCATATTAAGTGCCTCTTCGCTCCCTGTTATTACTGTCAGGCATTGCCAAAACCACCCCTGGCCAAACGGGTCAAACTAAGAAGGACCCCCCGCACCCACCGCGCAACCAGTCTGCCATTAGCAGATGGGTCTCACGGTGACGATGTCGCAGACGCTTTAATAACAGACCTCCAATGGTCCCTTGCATTGTATTTGCCCTGTAAAATGTCGGCGTGCTGCTCTTAGAGTTTAGCAGTCCGTCTCAGTGCCTGTCAAAATGTCAAAGCTCTGACACACCAAATCAGAGGGTGCTGACAGCTGTCTAATACAGGGCCCTAACTATTCGCCTGTGTGTGTGCGACTTCGGGTTTGCGCACGCATATCACCACTCTCTGCGAATTTCCCATTGCATGTTAACCCTTGCATACACTCAGTTTTTAACACCAACGCCCGGTGTTTAAAGACCACCTATTAACCAATCAGACATCTCTGGCACTAATGGATTTAAGCTGTTTTGTCAAGCCTCTGAAGGTCTGTAATTATCAATTCATGGCTAAATTTACAAATATATTTATCCTTCATCCAGCTGACCATGTATAAATGATCCACCATTCGCTTCAGGGTGCTTCTGTTGTGTCTTTTTGCACAGTATGTGTCCAAATAGGCATTTTTTGCCACATCTTTTTTGCAAAGGGAAAGTAATTACCCGGTTTAGATGAGAGTGAGTAAATTGTGTCGAGTTGTTGTTTGTTTTCGGCCATCTCTCCACCCTCCCCTCACACCGAGGAATTTGTGGCCTTTCTGAATGCCATGACTTAATGAAAACGGATATGACAGAGGGTGGTCATGCATGCGCCTGGGTACACGCACACAGTCGCGAGCAGCCTTGCTCCTTTAGTGTCGTCTCAAAGGGTTGTTTTCAGTGCTGTGGTTTGCAATAGTCTCCCTGGACATTCATCTCGTTTGATATGTTTGTCTCTTTTTATCTCTGTGATGGCGTTACTGTGTTTTTGTGGTGTGTGTGTATGTGTGTCTCTCCACAGATGCACGCTCATTTACGCCTGTATATTTCATGGGAGTGTGTGCATGGCAACCCAGGTCATATATCTCTCTAAAATTTAACAAAATATATATAAAAATAAATAAAGTATATATATACATATATATATATATATATATATACAAACATATATTGCAGAGCAAAAATATATTCCATTGTTAAATTTTCTATGATAAAACAATAACTGTACATGAGTGTAATGTGTGTATCCATGTACAATTGGATATACTTACAGTAGTTGTATAATTTGTTATTAGTTATTAATTATTCATTTGTTAATCCAAGTTATGCTGTGATATTGAGATTTATGAAACCTGTGAGGTTTTTGTGGTTTACAACAGTTTGGTGCAAAGACAAGCCTAATTACTATTTGGTCAGCCAAAGGAAAATAAATAGACTGCTCTATTTACAAGCACAAATGACACATTTTCATGTCTGGTGTGAAAGGTTAACAGGAATCCTTAATAACCACCACAAACATCAGACCGAAATGATTTGACGAACACAAAATTATGTATATATATATATATATATATATATATATAGAAGCACTATATATAAAATAGTCCTATAATATAAGGACTATTTAGATTTTTTTTTGTTTGTTTGTTTGTTTTTTGCATTGTTGCTTGACAATATGAGAAAAAAACTATGATAAATTCAATTTGTAAATTGTTTATACAATATTATTTTGTGCTATAGTGGCTTCAGTATATGCTTATTTACATTTTAAAAATGTGTCATTTTATTAAAGTGTATTTTATTTGTTTTATTTATATGTACTGTAATTAGGGTTGGGTATCGTTTGAATTTTATCAATTCCGATTCTGATTCTGCTTATCGATTCCGATTCTTTTCGATTCCCAGTTTCGATTCCAATGTGATTAAATAATGATATCAAACATTTATCCTGTCTCTTTTTTTGCAAACCATTTATTGGAGCTGAATACCATGAACAAAAATCAACAGGCTACAACAGGCATGTAATTTATGAATGAATGATTAAATGACTCACTCAATATGTACTTGTTTCATTACTGAATGAATCAGTGTTCTTGAACGAATATCTTGTATGATTCAAAGACAAATACAGTTTAACAGCCCCTTTTCGCCACCTACTGGCATAACAATGTAATTAATCAATCTTCATTTGAAGTGTCAAATTACTTTCAAAAGGTGATTTACTCTATTTTAATCGCTACCATACACATCGTACACACAGTTTATATCTGAACTATAAACTTTTATCCCAGTAC